CACATCACCCGATACCAATTCCAGTCATCGCGACATTCGAAATCACTATGACGATGCCAAAGCTCACGAACCCGTCCTTGACCGCTACGATATGCTCGCTCGAACACAAAGCCTGGGCAGCGCTATGCAGTTCCGGCGCCGAACTCGTCCCGCTTCTCTCCAGCAATCCCGTCATGATCTTCCCGAGCGACCTCATCCTGACCTGTGTATCGTCCCCAACAGTCCACAACATGCTTCAAGGCCCCGACTTCAAGCCCTGGAAGTCATACAAACTCAGCCACGATGAAGTCGTTATACTGGGCAAGGACAGCGCGCTGATCTACTACCGCGTAGAGGCGACAAGGGACAACGAGACGTTCAGGGCCATCTGCTCGAGCGCATGGGTGCTGGAAAGTGCTTCAGAGGGCGTGTCAGGCGATTGGAAGATGGCGCACCACCAGCAGACGCTGATCTAGGGACCTGTGTTGCTCAGATACCGTGTTTTAGGCCGTGGAGTCTGGGAGTCCTTGATACCCGTGGACAGTTCTCATAGACTGCAGGCAGCTGATCGCTGTAGAAGCGAGAACTGTGGGTCTCAGAATACGAGCAAGCATACATTGCGGCGGTTGAACGCTCTGGCCTGCTACATATACTTAATTATACTGCGGTTCAATACTTCGAAGCCTACGACTCAATGCATCTCCACCTCAAATCACGAGGTTTGGGGTACTCCCGTCCTATAAACCTAAACGCGATAGCTTGAGGCATCTCCACATAGCGCGGGCGCATCACTAGTGGCCGTCGAGTGACGTATGTGATCTTCCGAAGTTCCGTACAACATTTCAAGGGGCAGCTCATGAAAGTACTCACATCACCAGCCACGTTCCCGTTTTCGATGAGGATTGGTGTTCTCAGGCAGCTGGGTCAATCTTTGTCATCATCGCCGTCTAACGGGATCACATCAGCAGCATCACCACGTTTCAGCACAATGGCAGTTACCTACGCAGCCGCAGTCAGCACACCCAACGGCGGGGTTCGGCAGCCTCAAATCCAAGCCCGAGCCTGTTCAGACCCAGACCTCCGCGCATCCTTTGAAGCAACGCAAGTACAGCAAAAAGAGCAGACAAAGAAACCCCAACGACCCGGCGCAGGAATCCGTGCCAAAACGAGTTTCCGCGGCTGGTCAACCAAAAAGGAAGGCAAGACCAGTCCTAAGCAGGCCAACAATGAGCCATACGTCGTGGAAGAAAGCCGACCTTCAGGACACTATCCCCGACAAGAGCATAGACCGAACACCGCGAGTCAAGACGAACAAGTCTACGTCCTCACGCTCAAACTCACAGATTCCCTAGCCAAACCCATGGACGACATGCGAAACCAGTACTTCCCCAAACACCTCAACCGCACAGGCGCGCATCTCACGCTCTTCCACGCACTCCCACATTCACACATGGAAGCGCTAGAACAAGGCCTCGCACAAGTATCGGGGAGCATCCAGCCCTTCGATGTCTCAACCGGCAAGCCCTTCCGGATGCGCAAAGGCGTAGGCATCAACGTCGACTCAGGCTACACAAAGATGAAGAACGTCCACGCCGACTTACAAACCCAATGGTCTGAATTCCTAAGCGAGCAAGACGCAGGTGGCTTCCGCCCCCACTGGACCGTCATGAACAAAGTCGACGAAGAGACAAAAGTGGACAGCGCGTTCGCGACGATACGCCAGGAGCTGAGTGAGAGGAACCAGGAGGGTCGCGCCGTGGGTCTGGATCTGTGGAGGTATGAGCGTGGGAATTGGATTTTCGCAAAGGAGTTTGTGTTTGGTGAGGGTCTGGTCAAGACGCCGACGAAGACGGGGAGCCCGCGGAATCAAGGGCAGCGTTTGTCGCCCGAGCAGAGTCCTACGGATGGGCCCGGGAGGAGACCGGGCATGTTTAAGCGGGGGAGTAGTGTGGGGGATGCGTTGAGGTCGATGAGCTTTCGGAAGAGGAGTTGAGATAATACACGAGTCTGTAGGATGTGAGATTGGTTACGAAGTTGTGTATAGTACGTGTTCTGGGCGTTTGTACGGGGAGTTTGTATATTACATGATTCAGAACCAGCGTTCAGCCAATGCATGCGGAGAAGAAATGGTCTGGTTCCAACATGCCATGTCCATGGTTCGCGATGACCGAGGGGAGTCCCGCTGGCGACCGAAGAACATCGTGGAGACTAGATCAAAATAACGGCAGAAGCGCAGTTCTATTTTATCTACCCGTATTCAAGACTGCGTAAGCGCATTGGACGCATGATTGTGGCAATCTCGCCACCAACATACGACGCGCGTCGCATGAACGCTGATTGAAGCGGAGCGAACATCGTGAGTGTGGCTGTGAGGGGCCGGATAGAGGTACCATGGATCTGCAAATCCAAAACGTCGTGCATTGATGATTGATCAGGTGCACCATGAGCGACGTGACAGATACATTGGCGTTTGTCAAAGGCTTGGTAGTGTTCTCGGTCAGCCACAGCTAGCCACATGTCGGCGGTACCAGGGGCGCGGATAGCTTTCAGGGTCCCGACGTGGGGACCGAGGCGTGATCAGAAGATTCTGAGATGACCACGCCGCCCAATTCACAGCTTCACGGGCACGTGGTGCAATTCGCTCTGGAAAAGAGAGAACAGAGCGGTGACCAGCGTCACGTACCCAATTCGCAGAAATGAGACGAGCTGATTGTTCCCTCGTGATGGAATACGAACTCAGCCTATTAGCAGTCACAACACGAAGCTACGCCCCGAATTAGAAGCGGATAGGGCGAGCGATCAGGAACAGGGCCCATCTGGCCAGGCCACGATCACGATAGCGGTTAGGGAGTGGTTTAACGAGGCGTAGCGGGACTCGGGGGTTGCGCATGTGGTGGGTGAAAGAAAGGGGAACCGGCGCCGGTGTGAGCTAGAACATTTCCAGGGAAAGCATTAGCTCCGCTAATTGTGGACGCGGGTGCTTCGACGCATATAACCTACAGCTGGCCTCATCACCAACAAGCTCCCTTGCTCTTTGCCCTGCGCTTTCACTCGACCGTGCGACTCTTTTCTTCTTCTATACCCGGCAATTACTGCCTGCTTGTGCTGTGTTGAAGACTTGACTGTTTTCTTCCGTTCCTCCCTGCGACAAAGTTCCTAGTACCTGCGCCTTTACACAACTACACCACCACCAATATGAAAGGTACGCCTGGCCAATTGCGACTCTGTTGTACGTAGCTAATAGCCTATGCAGCCATCATTCTCGTCGGAGGGTTCGGTACCCGTCTGAGGCCTCTCGTAAGCCCTCCTCCCCGCGCAGCCCTCGCTCGAGAGCCCCGCGATGCCAAAAGTAACGGCAATGCTAACGCCAATTGCAGACCCTCACCTACCCCAAGCCGCTCGTCGAGTTCGCGAACAAGCCCATGATCCAGCACCAGATCGAGGCCCTCGCCGCTGCTGGCGTCACAGATGTTGTCCTCGCCGTCAACTACCGCCCCGAGATCATGGCCGAGGCGCTCAAGACAGTGAGTATACCCGCCCCTCCGCAAACGGGAGCACACAAATAACCGGCTGTGCAGTACGAGAAGCAATACAACGTGACCATCACATTCTCCGTCGAGACCGAGCCCCTCGGCACCGCCGGCCCCCTCAAGCTCGCCGAGAACGTCCTGGGCAAGGACGACTCGCCCTTCTTCGTCCTCAACGCCGACGTCACCTGCGACTACCCCTTCAAGCAGCTCGCCGAGTTCCACAAGCAACACGGCGATGAAGGCACCATCGTCGTCACCAAAGTCGAAGAGCCCTCCAAATACGGTGTCGTAGTCCACAAGCCCGGCCACGCCTCCAAGATCGACCGTTTCGTCGAGAAGCCCGTCGAGTTCGTCGGCAACCGCATCAACGCCGGTATCTACATCATGAACACCAGCGTGCTCAAGCGCATCGAGCTGCGCCCTACATCCATCGAGCAAGAGACTTTCCCCGCGATTGTCAAGGACGGCCTGCTCCACTCCTTCGACCTCGAGGGCTTCTGGATGGACGTCGGTCAGCCCAAGGACTTCCTGTCGGGAACATGCCTCTACCTCTCTTCGCTCGCGCGCAAGAACTCCAAGCTGCTGACCCCCGCTTCGGAACCCTACGTCTACGGCGGCAACGTGCTCATCGACGAGTCTGCCAAGATAGGAAAAAACTGCCGCATCGGTCCCAACGTGACCATCGGCCCCAATGTCGTCATCGGCGACGGTGTGCGTCTCCAGCGCTGTGTGCTGCTCAAGAACAGCCGCGTCAAGGACCACGCTTGGGTCAAGAGCTCGATTGTCGGCTGGAACAGCACCGTGGGCAAGTGGGCGCGTCTCGAGAACGTGACTGTGCTTGGTGATGATGTTACGATTGGGGATGAGGTTTACGTTAATGGTGGTTCGGTTCTGCCGCACAAGTCTATTAAGCAGAACGTTGACAGTAAGTTTGCCTTCACACCCCACATCCTCTCACTATTTGAATCACAGTTACTGACGCTATTCAGCTCCTTCGATTATCATGTAAACGCACCCACGAGATACCCGGTCGAACAAAATGTCGACGCAAATCTTCTACACACTTTTTTTTTAATAACGTGTATCTTTCTTGTATATTTCTGCATACACTCCGGCTGGCATATAGAACTGCGTGGTAGTAGTTGTGCATTTTCTACGGAGGCGTCTCTACAAGCACTCTACATCTCCCCTCTTCAGCATGGGGGAGTGCGTTCACGATACGAAAAAGCGTCTGGTTTGGTACGGATGGATGGGATGCTTTGGGTTGGGTTTAGCGATGGGATATAAGCAAGGTTGTGCTTCGGCATGCTGCCTTTTCTCAAGAGGAAACGGGGAAGAATGGGGATGAAGATGGACATGGAGATGGAAACGGAGATCATGTGTGCATGTACTGTACTGCAGGTATGAATACCAAAATCTGAAAACAAAGCTTTGCATTTGAAGATTGCGTACAATTACACGTTGATTATCGTTACGATCACCTACCTTACCTCACTTATCAGACTTGTGCTTCCCACAATTATAGTCATCTCCCTCCTTCACATTCTTCACATTCTTCTCATTCTTACACGGCTCGCCCTTGGTCGTTCTTCCACTACACTTAACTTTCTCCATACCCTCACCCTTCTTTGCCTTACCGCCTTTCGGCGTGTTCTTTGTCGGTTTTTTGGGAGGGGCTTTGGTGGGTTTCGGCTTTGTGCCTTCCTTTTTCCCGTTGTCGTTCTTCTTCTTTCTCGGCTTCTTCCCCGTCTCAACTACTGCTGGTTCAGATGGAGCATCAGACTCGTCGTCATCATCATCCCCTTTCTCCGGTGTCGCAAACCGTGTCTTCTTCCGCGGCGGCGCCTTGCGCCTATTCTTCTCTTCCTCCTCGCGTTTTCGTTTCTTTGATGCGGCTACCGCGCGGGCTACAGCAGCATCTGGGGCATCCTCCTCCATGCCCGTCTCTGCATCTGTGTGTCCTGGTCTCGGAGCTATACCGACTGGCATACCCTTCTCCTTCGGCTTATTCGCAGGTGGACCGGGAGACGGAGGAGGTGGAGTGGGACTTTTTGGACCTAGTGGCGAGGACGCTGCTGAGTCTACTACTACTACTGCGTCTGCTCCAGCCCGTTCTGATCTAAACGAATATACGGTGCCCGTCGAGGATGGCGTTCTGAATATGCGGTCTACGGGCTCTTCGACGATAATGATGGTGTCGGGGGCAACGACACCGCTGGTCTGCGGTCCTGCTTCGTTTTCACCATCGTTTCCGTGTGGTTCTTCGTCGGCATCCCAATTTATATCATCTGAAAGTGGATCAAGTTCGGGTTCGGGTTCGTCGGTGTCGGACTCTGTGGGTGAGCCCGGCGGTGGCCAGGTGTATCCCACGACTCCTGGCGCTGCTTCTGCTTCTTGGGTTGGCTCTGCCTTTTGGACTGGCTCTACATCTTGGGTTGCGGCTACTTGTTGGGTTGCGGCTGCTTCCTGCTTGACCTTTGGCTTGTAGTCTTCTGGTTCTGGCTCTGAGCTACTGGAGGAGGAGGCGGGGGAGTCATACGTTGGTAGGCCCGGTACGGATGGTGCTTGACGCTTTTTTTGTGACATGGTTCCTGTGCTGAAATTTCGGCGGGCGCCTGTTTAGGAGTTAAGGTAGAATTGGAAAGGTTTTCCGGTTTTGTTGATGTTATCGTGCTGGTGAGTTTAGTGTTTGAGTTTATGTCGAAGACTATTGCGTGCCCATGAGGTCGTTCAGATTTGCTATCTAGGTAAATAGGGATGTGGTTGAGTGCAATTCCACTCTTATGAGTAGCCGGAGATGACCACGATACACGGGTATCTTTTGTTGGACAGTAAAGATGTTGTCTCTTTCATCTGGTGAAAGAAGCGGAATCAATTTGATTGTGACATTGTATACTGGCTTTGGTCATTGTAAGTCGGCATAAAATACTCTTTGTGGTTATGGCTTTGTTTCTGTGCTTGGTGAGCAGCTTCAGCAGATGTTTCACTCATGGTTGACATGTCTTGTGCGTGGCAGTAGATGATCTTCATCAAAGACTATCTGAAATCAAGATTTCAGACTATTGACTTTGCCTGGAAGTCAGGCAGTTATCTTAACCCGAAGTTTCGGGCGAGACGGTAGAAGAACTCAAGCTCGTACTGTTCGGTTTGCACGTAAACCATCGGAGTTGTCTTAGACAAAGATGTTGGACCAGACAAAGAAGGGCCGAGTAATGAGACTGCAGCTAGGTCTGATGCGATCAATCCCAGTCATCACGTTCTTTGCTTTGTCGATACGTATGTCTGGTCGAGCAAGACTCTTATTTTCCCTACTCGGCTGATGTTGTCGTGGATAATTGCGTAGGCATAGGCGCTATCTTTCGTCATTTCTGGCACCATCATCACAACAGAAAACAAAGTTTGCCATGTGTTTCTCTTTCGATTCCATGTATTCCACTACAGCGCTCAACACCCCACATCCCAACCCCTCTATGCCATATCCGAGTAGAGGACGAGCGGTGGCGAGTTGACCTTCGGCTTAAAGTGCGCCTTGATCTTAGCATGTGCCTCATCCTGGTTGTCGTAGTAGTCCATATCCTCCTTAGACTCGAATATGCAACGCGCCAGCATCGTGTAGCCCTGGCTGCGCGGGTCGTCATAGGTGGCATTGGCTTGTGCAAGCTGGATGTACGTCTTGCCGTCCTGCACAAAAACACAATGACGTTAGCATGCATCCTCTCGATAAGCAGCAACAAACAACAAACGGCGGACGACGATAGCCTCGGAAGTCAGTCGGTGCGGAGGCTGTCGGTATATCTCTAGCGTCAGTCTGTCCATCGTGAGGCTTCAATGGATCCAAGGCGGCCGATATGTGCGTCGTGACTCGGAGTTGATTCCGCGCGCTGGTGTCGCCCGCTTGCTGCAGCCTCGTCACCCCCACCCCATTTCTCCTAGCCGCGGCAATATTTCCAGCGATTACCCGCCAGGGACATTGCTCCGCGCGCGCGAAGAGGAGGGTTGACGCCATTATCCGCTCTCTTCTTATCGAGACAGCAAGATGGAAATAGCCCGAGGGCGATTAGAATAAATCTGGGGTCCCGACGTGATGAGATGGTCCGTCGTGCAGGGGACGGGCGGTATGCACTGCACGTTCGATGGATATGTGCTGGCCGTAACTCGGCTGAGAGAGCGGGTATGTATGGAGATCTGAAACGGGAATGGGAGGACTTGGAGGGAATGTTGGCGAGTCAAGAGAGGGCTTCGACGTACCTTTTTCGCGTCTTGGGCGAGAGTGTTGTACATCTGGATGGCTTCTTTGACCATGTCCTGGTCGGGGATCTTGAACATGGTGAGGCGGACGATCTTAGGCATCTTGACGGTTGTCGGTTCTGGTGATTGGAGAGAAGCTGTAGTGGTGGTTTGTATGATTCAGCTCGTTGTATGAATGTGTGTATATTATGTATGAGGCTGTCAAGTTGGTATATCTAGGTACTCTGTCGGACTCCGGAGTAGGCGGAGAGCCATTCGAAACGTCAACGTCAACGTCGGTTCCCCTACGCTTTGCACAGCGTATTGTTCAAGACGTAGTACATACTCCATCTACGGTCTAATTACATTTGCTTTTTGCGGATGCCGTAGTCTGGCCGTTGACCCCGCGTACGGCGCCTGTACGACGGGTAGTCTGTTTGTGAGCTGACAGCGATTACGTAGCCTGTCTGCTACGAGACGGCGAGGCGTACATTCTCGATGCGCAATCCATGCCTGTCTCGATAGTCTGAAACGTGTCACTAGAGAGGGAATGTCGGTTTGAATCGTGGGGTAACTGATGCTACTGACAGTAGACGACAGACACCGCTATCCGATGCCGGTGAAGGATGGCAGTCATATGCTGTTAGACGTCACACATGGAGCGTGGAAAGAGCTGGCCAGAGCCTTTACCGCATCCTCGAGTTGTGTAAGGGTGAATGGACCCTGAGGGGCTGCAATCTGCAATGTCGAGTTTCGGAGGGTCGGGACGGTGCGTTGTGTCCCTCATCGAGCATCGGTAATGGACGCGAAACCCGGCCCCTCTAGATTGATTACCCTGCACCACACCCGGCTGCAGCACCACCTCTCACCACGCGAGGCTGAACAGGAGGGTGAGGGTGCTCTTGGTTGGAAAAGCGCTCGAACATGTGGGTCTTCAGTAGCCTATTGATGGAATCAGGCCGATTCGAAGACGACATACCTATCCACGACAGGACGCCTCCAGGGCCGACAACTCTGCGGTCCAAATGGCGGCCCTCTCACGCAGTCGAGTAGGTCAAAGAACAGCCTTCTTTGCTAATGCGTAGTGTCAAGAATTGATGCGCAGAAAGAGGGGCGCATGGTTGACAGCGCTGGCTTCTTCACCGCCTGTTTTGCAGCTTGGGGCGGGTGGCCGTGCTGGCGCGCTCGCGTCATCCACAGATCTCCCGCGCGTGCGACATAGTTCTGAGGCTCGTTCACTCATCTCCGCGCTGATTCTGCTGGCCTTGGACGCGCTCGTCTGGACTTCAAACGCTATTCTTTGTCCAATATATCAGTGGCTGTTCCTTGCGCTTCGTTGCCGCTATTCACAAGCGCCATCGTCCCGCTCCATGTATCAACCACCATCTTGGATCGGCGCCAGACAGAAGCGGTCCTTACTGGGACCTGGGACCTAGCCATGCACCGCTGCCTGTCGTGAACCGCGCCGGCCTATCGAATCGTCCGAATTTTGCTTCCGCTCCACGACGACTTGCTCTGTGCACCCTCAACCTTTGTACTGCTGCTATCCACTTCGCGGCAGGTCAATTGTCGAGTACGCTCTGCAGCCGCCCGACGCATGATCCCTTTGTGTCGATTCGAAAATTTCCTCCCAAAGCTCCAGACCCGTTCGTGCTGAGCTTGGCATCCTGCTATCTTCAATGTCTTGACTTCGGCAAAGTGGGGACTGCTTGATGCCCTACCATCAGCCTTGAACATGGGGATCCCAGGGTCTGTGAACTCTTCATCTCTGTCTCTCTCGATTGACCGGGATCGCGTGCGCGAGAACGCCTGGCCCCTCCAGCTGTCCTCTCCTCGTCAATCATCGCCTGTCAAACCGTACTCCACTACGTCTCGCGAACGTGCTTGAGCGCCATCAGACAGTCTCCGCAATGCCAATTTATGCCTGCATGCACACGGCTTACAGCTAACAGCCGTTGACCCTTTCCCTATTCGAGCTGCAGGCGCGTTTCCCAGTAGCGATATTCAGAGGACCGTGCTTTCTGCATGTATGCGTTGGCAGTGACGCTTGATGCTTTCTGGTAACACCAACCCCAGGTATCTCCTCGAACCCTCGAACGCATCAATCAACTCGTCTCGCTCGCCCCTGGGGCTGTCGGGTAGCTCCATGCTATGCCTGTTGTGACGCGTTCTCGCTTCGAGCCACTATGCTTTGCATTGTCTTGCAGTCACACAATCGTGTCCAACTCCTCTCCAGTCGCGACTCTGGCGGTTGGTACCCTAGCCGATTAGCAGTCCCATTTTTTTGCTGCACGTCTGGTCTGGTCTCTGATTCCTTTCAGACCCTGCCTCCCAAACCATACGCCGATATCACGCATTCTGTTGCCAAGATTTCAGGGTATCGGTACACTTGACAAAGGGTGCAGAGTCTGACGTATTTGCGTTCTCCCCTCACTTTGCATATTGCATTAGTGGGCCCAGTGCATCCGGGAGATACGAGCAAAGAGTGCTGTTAGGATGCACGTCTGCCACCTCGTTGTTTATGCGCCCATCCTAGGCGTCTAAACCTGCACAATGCCGATCGAGACATGTCCAGCCTTGGGAAAACGGGTTACAGCAATTGTGTCCGATCGCCAGCCGTTTTTTCACTGCGCTACTGCGTGCAGCACGGTGGCAAGAGCGAACCGGTCAGGCTGTACCTTTTGAGGTTTGAGTCTCTTACTAGCTAAAATTCTGGAACCTTTACCGTTGGCTACCTTCTCGCCAGCACATACTATGGGTCTCCCTCATTCAGAGCCGCAACAAGACCCGCAGATTATCCATTTCCACAAGCCCAATTGCCCCTCCGTTTTTACTGGTGGGCGAGACGCGCTTGGATACATGCTACACTCGCCTGCTGCAATATATTCCTCCATCCCACAGTAGGCACATATGCTTCCCCCATCCCCGTCCGACTGACTGCAAGCCGCTCCCTCTACCTTGCTCTTCATACATCAACGCTTTTCATCTCTTTTGTACAGCTGTCAATGCTTTATTGGCAACTGTCACCCACACCCTAAAAGCATTTACTGTCGTACAACCACTGCCACGGATACCTTCTCGGCCTACTATCGTCGCCACCAACGAACGCTTGCCAGTTCAGCAATACTCCGCAGCAGTAGTCTTGCCCTCAGACTGACAGCTCACCATCGAAGCGCCATCAGTCGTTCCAATCGCTCCATTACACGTCAATAATCCTTTTCGACCACCTCCAACATGTTCTACGTTATGTACCTGACAGGTTAGTGCTAGAACTGTTCCTTTTCTTTTTAGACAGCTGGTACCACATAGCCGGATCTAGTTGTGCCAAATGAGGTCTTGACGACATGGCAATTGGTGCAAGACTCATGGGTGATAGCCCTGTCTAGTGTAGGGGATCCACACAACGGGGTGGAAGACCAGGTCTAAGACTTGACAGCACGGTAGCAGATTCAATTTGTGTGTGTACTGGTTGCTGACCCTCGGATATAGGTCTTTGCCAAAGGCGCCACTGGCCTGACCCACTTTTCCAAACCTACCGAACACGCTACGGTTACGGATCAACAGTCAGAGTAAACAACCGAGAGTACTCCACGGATGTTGAATACGAAAGCGAGGAGCTCGCCAAGAATGCCGCCGCCACCCGAGCCTACATGATCTGCCGCAACTTCTCGGTAAACGATGGAATGTACCCAGGACAACGGCCCGGCCAGGGCGCACAAGGACTGCCAACACCGATAGGAGCGGGCCGACGCAATACTTCCTCATCCAACGACTACGACAGCTCCAGTACCACCAGTGGCGGCACCAGCCCAAGGAGCTCCGACTGTGGTCTCGATGCTGCACAGGCAGCCGCGGCAGGAGGACGACGACCCAGCAAGGCTTCTGTCGCGCCATCAACTACCTCGGCATGCTACTGCGGTCGCGGATATGTTCGTGCTTACGAGAGATGCTCAGGATGTCTCCAAGAGGCGGGATACAGGGTGTAAGATATCGATAGACTTCGCTTCCCTCGACGGGACCCACACCAAGCAACAACGAAACCAAAACCTTACGACGACCGCATCGAACCAAAAGACTTGAAGAGCTCGAGCTCAGCGATACCACGATTCCTACGACTCTGCATCCCTTACGGCCTTGCTACGAGCTTATCCTTATCCAGTACTGCGGTGATATCTTATCGGGCCCGGACGCCTTGTTCCTACCCCATCGAAACGAGCTGGGCTATGTAACGACCACCATACCCACGCCCATTTTCCTTACCCTGATCTTGCTCTTCTTCCCCAGCGGGGCTGCATAGCGACGGCATTGAAGCGTTTTTAGCGAAAAACCTATTCCTCTTATTGCTTTTAGGATCGGCAACCACCCTTCCCTTGATCCTGGGTTGGCTTCTTCAATTTCGCGCTCACGAAATTGCTCTCATATATTACGATGATGACCTTTTCCTTGGTGTTTCCTTTGGCACTCGCCTGTTTTGTCTGATGATTGAGCCAAAGAAGAAAGATGTATGAAAGAAGATCACATGATGATGTTGGCCACGCGGCTATATAACGATGATGCTTATGATGGTTATGAAATTATATACCTTGTTCCACTATTGCGTCGGTTCTGTTGGCTCGAATGATTAAAATGAATTTCCGCCCCCAAATCCACGACCTATACACGTCCAGCACAGCCCCACGAGGTCACTCGGGTGATTGGCTCGCTTCTCTGCCCCCAGCTTATCGGATATCCAGATGCCATCACAGCCAACAACATCAGGAAGGAGCAAACAGTCCGTGCCACCGTTGACGTCAATTATAGGGGGAAATAAATGAGAGGAAAGCGACGCGTAATCCGCGAAGTTCAGCAGCCTCTCCCGGTAACGATGTTGAGCCATGCACCCAACGCGAGCCGTCGCAAACTGCTAGCAAGTTCAGCGCCCAAGCATGTATTCCCAGCTCGACGCGTCCCGGAAAGAAATACGTCTACTCCATGTTCACCCGGGGGCCTGGGATGATGATATCGAATGCCACCTCGAGACTGCCTCGCTGAACGACAACCCAAAATTCTACGCGATCTCGTATGTTTGGGGCGACCCAACGATAACGTTACCCATCAGGATCGATGGCGAGACGCTGGAGATAACACAGAATCTGCGCAATGGGCTGCAACGATTGCGGAGAACGGATGAGGCCTTGATCATCTACGCAGATGCAGCCTGCATCAACCAGTCAGACCTCAACGAGCGTTCTGAACAAGTACAGCTTATGGGCGAAATATATAGTTTGGCGGAAGAAACGTTCATCTGGCTCGGCTACGGACGCAGCCCGCGAGCACCCTTCAAACGGCCGGCCACCGTCGACTGGACTGGAGATGAAAGAGACGTCACAACCGTGGATGCCTACTTCAAGCAGAGCAAGATCCGAGATGGTGGAAGAGAAGAGCAAAAGGAGGCAGAGGACGTACTCGGCTTCTTCGTTTACATACGAATCTGTGGCATGGACAAGCACGTAGGCGAAATCCCCTTCTTCACTGTAGAGAACGGGCGGCTGCTTCGCAAGGAGGGTTGGTCAGCAGTCATTCGAGCTACGAAGACGTGGATTTCCAATCCATGGTGGTATCGAATCTGGGTTGTACAAGAGACGGTGCTTGCTCGACGGGCCACGGTGGTTTACTGCAACAATACCATGCCATGGGATACGCTCATAGAGGCAGTTCAGTCAATAACCAGACACTCTAAAGGCTGTTGCAGAAGCCTTAGCTTATCGCTGCCGACAAACGGCAGGTTGGCTTGGAGTCAATTGTCATTCGCTGTGCACACCGGCGCGGTAGCCCTCCAGAAGCTTAGACAGCGAGGCAAAAGACTGTGTCTGAGTCAAGTTATGCGTCTAGTACACCTGCACGAAGCGACGAATATCAGAGACAATGTGTTCGGTGTACTAGGCCTCGTCACAGACTGGCAAGGTACACCGCCCATTATCCCTGACTACAGTCTCTCCCCGAAAGAAGTCTTCATTCAAGCGACCATCAGGGATATACGCGGTACCCATTCGTTGGATGCATTGATGGGTAGAACCATGGCCGGCGTATCTGGCATACCATCTTGGGTCGTGGAAATCAGCCCGAAAACACCAACACAGTACGCAGTCGCACAACTCAAACTACACCGCTCAGCACTATATTCAGCGGCGAGCGGAACGGCAGCCCATATCGAGAGAAGGAAAGATGTACTCACGGTAGACGCTTTCGAGCCACGCCAGACAATATCACAAGTCTCACAGATATTACATACGGAGAGACTTACATGGAAAAGCATCATCGACACTCTTGAGACATGCTATCGCATGATCGAGGCCGAGAAGAAAAACGTCTTCCGCGCTTTGGCAAATCAGTCGTTGGAAGAAGCGCTCTGGCGTATCTTGACGACTGACTGCTGGGAACCGCTTCCGTCGAACCACGCGGCTTCCTTCAACGACTCTTCGCGAGGAAACAAATCACAGAGATTCGGCAACACAAATGTCTCGCGCTTGGGACGGAACTTGCAGACGTGGTGTCAGGCTCGAGCCACTAATCCTGATGTTGTGGGAAGCCTACATGGCGACGATCTTAGCGACGATCGCTTTTTCTATGAGTCGTGGTTTACTTCGGGTTTTGATCGGAGGTTCTTTATCACGACGGATGGTTACATGGGTGTAGGTCCGCCGGAGATGCTGCCCGGTGACTCTGTTACTATCTTGTTGGGAGGACGCGTACCGTTCTGCCTCCGAGCAGCTGAGGATGGGACTAAAGGTCACTATACGCTCGTCGGAGATACGTATGTGCATGGCTTGATGGATGGAGAAGGCGTTCCGGCGAATTGGAAGGAGCATGTCGTTAAGATACACCTCCATTGAAAAGACTTCAATTTAAACAAGTTTGCCCTCCGACACGTAAACTTTTCCTGCAGTTGTAAAGTGCACGACACCTAGGATGTGTTGAGATAGAGTGCAACATACTGACAGTGAATAGTCGAAGAATTTGAAAACAACATGGACCCTGTTGAAGTGACGTGTAATAAACATACCAACACTCGACTCATCAGTCGAAGCGGTATCATGAAAATGCCCAGATATCTAAGCTTACACTCCCCTGCGTACAAATGTAGTAAACTCCAAACAATACCGTGTCGCTCATACAGAAGAAAGCGGAAACAGCCTTTTGCAACCTCACCAACGCCACGCAGCAAGGGCTTTACAAACACATACTACTACATCTAACCACCACCTTCAGCGATGGCCTTGAGTAGACCGCCGACATAGTTCCGAAGAGTAAGATTATGGCTTGCTGTGAAGGCGATCTGGTCCCGCAGCGGAGCAAAGATGCGGGGGACCCACCCAGCGTTCTTGGCTTCTTCTTCCTCCTTTTCTTCGTTCTCTCGTCTTTGTTCCGCCGCTGCGTCGCTGAGACGTGGCTTCTTACCGCCAGCTGTGGCTCGTCTGGCGGCTTCGGGGCTTCCTTCACTGGCGCTAAATGTCCGCTTATGGGCTGGAGAGGATGGTGAGGTAATGTCGGTGACAGTGGTTGGTGGTGGGATCTTGTTGAGCTGGCGAGCAAGGTTGCGAAGGACGAGGACAGAGGACAGGGGAAGGCCGGCGGCATCATTGGTATCGTCGGTTGCCGTGTTGTAGTAGCGGAAGTTGGGTGCTGATTGTGCTCCTGCTGCATCCTCTCGGCCACCGTATCTGCTTGCAGAGCTGGTCGATGAACTTTGGTGTCGCCCACCCATACCCAAACTACCTAGCCCGACCGGTTGTCCGAATTGCGGCTGAAAGTTCTCATGTCGTGCTTGTGCGGAAGAAGTCAAGGGCCGTGACTCTGAAGGCGTGCGGTTGTGTTTCGCGTGGATAGCCTGCTTGATACTTGTATCAGGCAAATGCGTCTTGACATGCTGTCCAGCCTCGAACGCGGATTCCGTGCCGTCAGGCGAGAATCGAGTGCAGCCGCCCCAGTGACAGTAGTATTTCGTCGCTTCTGGGGTGTCGCCGTTCTCGATATTGACAATGTCCTTGATGTCCAGCTTTGGCTCAAGCAGCCACTGTCCGGTTTCCTGATCGCGAGGAACTTGGAGATGGACACTGACAACGTGTTCCCACATGGAGCGTGCTCCGGAAGCAAACTCGCCGCACTCGATATTGGCGGTCGAATGTTTGGAGTCGGCATGGCCGTTCAGGAGGCTCGGTGGATGCCAGCAGCAGCGCATGTACGGCCTCTTGGTGCTTGGGTCGACTGGTACGGATCGTGGCCGTATGCCTCTTATGGTATACTTTGGCTGTCCACCCACGGTCAACACCTGAGCGGAGGCGCCACCGAACGTCGTTGACACATTCGTGATGAAGTCCTTAGCTGGCATCAGCGCCTTGAACGAAGCCGGATTATTCGTCATGTGTTCTGAGAAGGCTGCGTTGTAGGCCGACCAGAGCTGGATCTGAGTAATCTCGCCAGTAGCATCCTCTTCGAAACACGTCTTGAGCCATTGCGAGCTACGCTCTGGCTCATCAAGCGTCACGAGATGATCTATGATTGCAGACGAAAGCTTAGGGGCATTCTCTGGAGGTGCAGAGGTCTTTGCCGTCTTGGCGGCACTCCTTCGTTCTTCGTATGCAATAGCACCGTACTGTAGCAAGCGTACCAGTTGCTTTGCCACTCCCTCAATGTCAACTTCGTGTACAAGCGTCTCAACGTTATCGGGGAAACCAGTGAAGAGATAGAGGAAGTCCAGGCATGCTATGCGCAGATCCTCGTCTTCTACTAGCAGCCAGTCGCAGATTGACTTGAGGGTCTTGACTGGCACGTCAGAGAGCTTGTTTGTAGCCTCCAGGTTCATTGCTATCCGAGCGAGTGCTCTCAGCGAAGTGATAATGCGGCCACGGTCGTCGGAATCCACTTGGGCGAGCAAAGAGCGATACAGCGGGCTTTGCGAGTCCAGTATCCAGTACTTTGTTAGCTGCTCGGCAATCTCTAGGGCGTAATGCTGTAGCTCCACGATAGTGGAGTGGCGGGGCAGATTGAGTGCGATAACGATCATGTCTTGGATGGATGGCACAGAGGCCGCGAAGATAGCATTCTCTTTCAGCATGACCATGTTCCGGATGATGAGCGCAGCCTCGTTGATCATGGTGAGGGCCTTTGCGGATTGCTCGGGTAGGAGGTTGTCGTGCATGTCGAGTGGGCGGAGAGATTTGATGCGCTGCAACAGGTCGCGGGTGCCCGTCAGTCCGTTCAAGGTTTGCGGCTGAGTAAAGTCCTCTTCGACGTATGAGATGTCCCAGTTCACATCGAAGAACAATGTGGACACGTCAATGACCTTGGCGATGAGTGCATCTGCGAGCCCCGGGAACTGATCGAATCGGTACTTGTCTCCTCGCTCGTGCGAGATCTTGACCAGGTGGTGCAGCGCGTATGCCTCCTCCTCGGGCTCCTTTGATCGTAGCGCGTTCAAAGCGCGGATGTATATGCTGGGCCCTGAGAAGCCAGTACCGGGCAGCATCATGCCCTTGAGCGGCACCGGCCTGTTCTTCTTGTTGAGAATGTACTTCTTGCGCGACTGTATGTAGGTATCGAGCGAGTTGGACGGGGTAACGACGGGCTTCATGGTGGCTGGTACGGCGGTTCGTGGCTCGTAGTTCGCGATTGTCATGGCTGCTCCGCTGGTGCCGTAGCCGTTGGCTTGCGCCGAAGTCAGATGGCCTGTCGATTGGCGCGTCTGTCGGGTTGAAGACTCGGGCTGGAAGAGCACTCGCTGCGGCGGCGCATGGCGGAGGGATCTGGTCGACCGCCCAAGGCTACCGGGCTCGTCCACGTCCATCTTGTCGTCTTTGGGTGTCTTCTCAACGTCGTCTTCGGAGTCGGAGTCCTCCTCTCCCCTTAATCGTTCAGCCTCTCTATTACTGGTGGGGAAGAAGTTGTCGACAGTCCGGTTGAGCAGGTCTCCACCCTTTGCAGATACGTTCTCGAGGATTTCGGGCGGCGGGGGTTCGCGCTTGTGAACGGTGGATATTTCGTAGGCGCTAGAGCAGGCGTCAGCAGTGGTAGGCGCAAAGTTGTCTTTCACCATTCACGTACGCAAGGTTCTTGTAGTAGGCCGTCTTCACCAAAAAGGCCTGGGTGGTGATGCTGGGGCTCTTGGGCAGGAACTCAGTCGCGATTTTGCGCCACGCAAGCTTGTTGTTTTTGGTATCTGAAACCCTATCGTACCCTCCCTCTTCATTAACGCGTTTGTAGAGTCGCAACAGGTCAATGTGCCGGCTCCCGACTTTGGGTTCGCGATCCAGGACAGTGCTACACGTCGGGTCAATATGCGCTCATTGCGGCGAGACAAAGAACAAAACCCACCCGCGCTTTTCGTGGTATTCGGCCAAGGTGTTCAGGAAGTCTTCATGTTCTTGGGTGCGCTCGACAGATTGTTCCTCTGGTTTGTTTGGGGCCATGGTGCGGCTGTCGCATTTACTCGGGACTGCTCGGGCACGGGGCGCGACGCATGCGTGGATTCAGCTGTGTGCCAGGCGCAATGGTGGATCTGCTCGTGAATGCGCGGCGCGCGTCGTTCGCGATGATGGATGGGCGAACACCAGAACTCTAGACTGCACCAGGTCCCTCGCGTTGATTCGCACGGACCACATCATGTGACTGGGTCGCCGGTCGCGACTTCCTTCGACCATCTCTCACATCCTCAACACCTGAGCGCGCGACCTTGACGTGTCTCTAAGACAACACGTTTCATCGCACACATGCTATCAGATGAACGATTATTGATCTCCACTAACCAACAACCTTGCTAACCATCATGCTATCCCTTCCGCTTCAGACTCTGTCAACAGCACGAGACACGGACGCCACCGAGCAGAGGTTCAACTGGCAGAAAGAGACCAATGACCTCACATTGATCATCGACAGCTATGGTGCGCGCGGAGGTCTTCAGCTCATGAAACTGTGTCAAGGCTCGCAGGTTCGGGTACGACGCATGCATGACTGATTACCCACCCATTCAGATTGGAAACCCGCTTCCAATGATGTGCTAGCTAACCGTTGGATGACAGCAAACCATCGAAATTGAGAGACTGATCAACCAAGGCAATCACATTACGCGTCTGAGTGAAGAGCGCGGAGTGCAGGTGCAGCCCGACCACCTACACATATCCGCCATTGTGCGCTGCCCTCTGCTCGCTATCAAATGGCAAGTGGCCAACGACAAGATCAGGCGCATCCAGATGAGGTTCAAGTCGGACAAAGACTTCGATACCGCGTTCAGCCACCTCCTTCATCTCGGTCTCTACATGGGCGGCCAAAAGGCTGTCCCGTCTCAGCCAAGGTCTACGGCTCAGCCACCATCTCCGGCGCGAGGAGGATCGTCTTCCCGGCCAAGATTGACTGCTGTTGCATACTCTCAGCTGCCTAATATGAGCTCTGCCATAGGTGGACCATCATGTCCTCCTTCACGACTGGCGGAGATCTCTAGTCGACCGTCCACTAGCTACGACGTCTCTGCTTCCTTGAATCATGAACTACCCACAGCATCATACACCCGTCCAGTTTCTGCCAACACAGGCTATACTAGAGAGGCGGGTGGTGTGCCGGCACCATTCTCAGGTCCTCTTGCTCCTCCAGTATTGTTCACTCGTCCTACCTCAGCAACCTCGGATATCTTAGGACGCTCGCATGTTGACTCTTCATATACGTCAGATCAGCACATGTCGGACCTTCAAGATACTCATCGTATGTCTACGGAGCGACCGGATACTGCTATGCTCTTCAACCGCCCTGGTAGTGCAAACCGTCCCGGTACTGCGGATCGCCCTGGTAGCACTGAGATACTACCACCGAGACGCGAGCTTCCTTTCCCACGCTTATCTTCGCCGCGCTCCTCTGGCAGCGACAGCGTGCGGCCCTCTACTGGCACAATGGGGCCCCCTCCTCTACCAGCGCACGTAGCCAGTAACCGACCTGGTTCCAGCCGAAGCGCAACCAGCAAGGAGATCGAACTCCCACCTCTGCCCCAACCCACTGTCATCAGCAAGACCGCACGTGGAAAGCAACCAATGCAACAGCCTCCTCGCACACCGAACCAAGATCAGTACATTCCTGCACGCGCAAAGACATCTCCACATGGCGGCATCGAGAATCAGTCACCGTTAACATCGTCTCCAATCTCCTCTCCGCTGTCTTTCAATCGGTCAAGCTTCAGTGCCTTGCCGACACCGCAACCTCTCGGTGAACGGAGTAATGCTGCACAGAATCTTCATCATAACATGTCATATAGTGTTTTCGATACCCCACCTACGTCTGTTACTGGTCACCGTGGTGTGAGCGTGTCAAATCCAGGTGCTACTGTGAGTGTGAATGAAAACGACCAGCTGGCGACATATGCGATGCAGTCTGACGAGGGACGCAGAGCAGCGCTCAACGAGTTCGTCTACCGCCACCTGGAAAGCGACGACTTCCTCACGCTGGTCCAAGACATGGAGGCGACTTGGGCGAGAGTTGTGATGTGAATGCAATGAAAGGACCGCTGGCGATGGAGATCTAGCAATGACTATGTGAAGGAAGGAGAATCTCGTCGAGACTGTTCAAGAGGACGTAGTGAAGAGTATGGAAAAGGGCGCGACGGTATCTCATAAGCATCAACACGTTCTGTTGTTTCAAACGCTTTCGTAGTTCCGAGATAGTAATACTGTCAACAGATGATGAGAATCGAAGCCCTCGTCTTGCATCTACTCAATGCCTACTCCCCTGCTCACCAACAACATACCCCCTCGCAATTCCACTCCTTCCCTCTTCCATCTTAGCCGCCCTTTTCCTACCAGCCCCCTCTTCTCCATCTTCCGCGTCCCGGTAATCCGTACCCAGGCCCTGCCACGTCCTATTCGAGCGCAAATACTCTGCACCAGGCGACGCGACGCCCCCCACAGCCGCAATATCGCCATTCGCCCGTTTCGTCAGCGCCGAACTAGACGACGACGTCGTTGCATTGCCGTTAACGGTTTTCGTCGCGCCGCTCGAGCGCATAGGTCTTGCATGCGAAACATAGCGCCCAGTCCTGAGGTCAAATTCCGGAGGCGCAGATTCCTCTTCAGAATCGTAATCGCCATTTGCATTTGCTTCTCCGTCCTGCCCACTGCCCACCTCTTCCTGTGCTTCCTCTGTGCTTTCTTTCACATCCCCCTCCCCCTCATCCAAAACCTTCTGAAAGTCGCCCTCCCACCTCCCCGTCCAAACCCTTTCCTCATCCCCCATCAACGCCACCTTGAGCTCCCACGGCGTGATCATCGGCCGCCAAAACTCCCTGCTCTCAATCAAACTACTCTCCCAACACCCTATCACCACCCACCCCCCGACCTCACTGAAATTAGCCACCTTGGCTGCATTCACTTTGCCCACGACAAAGGTGTAATATTTCTTGCCTGCAGCCGTGATCTGCCGTTGGACGTGCGAAAGGATGTGCATGTAGTTCTTTACGGAGAGTGTATTGATCAAGATGCCGAAGATGGGGGTTGTGGAGAGGGAGGTCAGGAGGGCGTAGCGGCGCATGAGGGTTTGGTGGGTGCGGGCTAGGGAGGCGGTGGGTGGGGTGGTGGAGGGGGTGTCTGTGGGATAGATGTGTATTGAGGCGACGCGCGAGGAGAGGGTGAGGAGGAGGGACGTTGGGGGGTCGGAGATGTGGAAGAGGGCGTAGTCGTGAAGGGCTTCGTCTGTTTCTGTTGTGTTCGGTGGTATCGTTCGGTTTGGAAGCGGCGACGATGGGTTGTGTACGATTTCGGTGGCGTGGATGTGTGTGTAGCCGGCGTCTTGGAGGCGTGTGTGGAGCGTGGGGATGTAGTGCGAGTATGGTATGTCGGCCATGAGGATGATCTTTGCGTCTTTTTCTGGATATGTTTCTTGGAATGTTGCGATTACGGGGTCGAGATCTAGCGGTCGCTCAGTAAAGACGTATACGACTGGTAGTCTTGAAGGAGGCGAGAGACATGAGCGCCCGTAATGCACGACGACATCCGCATCAACGTGCTCTGCTGCAACTTCGTCTACACAGCATGCGCCGTATGATGTGTCACCCAGTATAAACAGACTCTCGTCTTTGCTCTCTTCTTCACTTATCGCCGCCTTCTCCAAGCCCGCGCTGATTTCTTCCACGCCTGTTGTCCCATTTGTGTGTCCATTCTCCTTTTGCACCCCGTCCCGCGCCTTCCTCGCCTTACCCAGCCCCCGACTCAGCTGCTCATACACTCTCGGCGCATCAGTAAGCATGTGATCCGGGAACTGCAACGCGATCCTCTTCCACCTCCCCTCGCGGATCTCCTTAACCGTCCGCTCGATCTCATAGGTGAGCGTGATCTGCTCATCGGAAAGTCTGGGTAGACTCGACGTGTCTACAGCGGGAGTGGGATCTTCGAAGATGTGCGTGTCAGGCGTAGAGAGTACGGGCGCGCCTGCGAGCGACTGAACGGCGGCCATTGTGTGTGGTGATTGCAGAAGAATGGCGTTGAGTGCGTGAGGCGTGGCGGGGTTGTAACTTTTTTTGACGGGCGCGCAACTGGCGGGGCACGCCTCGGTGATGCAGGGACGGGCGGCGCCGAAGAGCCGCAATGCATGGCATGGTAATATCGCACGTGTGATAGGTGAATGGCAATAAAACGTTCGGTATACGTGTATTGACTCAATTACTATCTACAAAAGAGATGTGGTATCATATTTCAACCCGCGCTGAATCCAATCCCTATGTCGCCAAAAGCAAACTAGAAAATATCTCACATCATCAGGTATCCAGACACGGCCGCTGCCAGAGCAAGACCGAGAACGTTGGGCACGAACTTTCCTACACCGCTGTCGTCGTCGCCGTTGTTTGTAGTGGCGAGCTGACCGACGATCAGCTCGGGAGTGTATGGCTGCGATGTCTCGACTGTGGTGCCGTTCCAGCAGTAGTCAGTGAAGCACTGCTGGCACACTTGTGGGATAGCCTCGCCGTTGCGCTCCAGACTCCTAGAGAGGATAGCGCATCCGACGCAAGTAGGCCAGTTTGAAGCACCCTCGCGTGTGGAGTTTGCCTGGGTGACGACGTCGTAGCCGTTCTCGATCATGCCGTTGCGCTCGCTGATGCTGTAGTCGAGCTTGTTGAAGGTGGAGGTGTTGGACCAGAAGACGTAGGGGGCGTTGGGGAGGTAGACGACGAGAGGAGGGATGTTGTCGCCCTCAGTAACGTTGCTGCTGTTGCAACCGAAGAAAGCGGGGCGGCTGTTGAAACCTAGGGCAACGAAAGTGTCCTGGCCGGGGATGTAAGGGAACGAAGTCCTGTTCATGAGAGTGCCGCTTGCACGCTCGTAGGTTGCGACCAGAGAAGTACCGTTGGGCCAGTTCTGCGACGGGTCGTCCTCCTCGACGGTGTCGCCAGAGGAGTCGATAGCAAAGACGACATCGACCTGGCGTACGGGCTGAATGACCGGGTTGAAGGGGATGTTCTGGCCATCCTCACCACCGTCAACGAGAGTAAGACGCTCCCTGTCAGCACTGGGGTTCGTCTCGTTGTGGTAACGGAAGAAAGGGTTGGGCGAGTAGTCGGCGATATCGTCACCATCTTCACCGATACCCTTGAGGATGTTCGATACAAAGTTCACCAGGATCTGAGGTACATCCTGGATGGTGTTTAGTGTGAGGAAGATCTGGTTGAACAAGGAGCTGCTGGTTCCCATGACGAATCCCAGGTTGTCGAATCCCTCAACACAGCCCTGATCTTGGGCAAGTTCACCCTCGCTGAAGTTGGAGCCGATGTACTTTAGAGGAGCAAAGCCGTAGGTTGTAGGGTCGAATGAGCCCATTTCGAACGGGTTGAACTCGAAATTGGTGGCGTTCAAAGAGATGATTAAGTCTCCGGGCGAACGCTCATCTGCGACGAGGATAGGCATCGGTGCGTTTCCGGATGAGAAGTCTTGGTCGTCCTGGATGGAAGAGAAGGTGTAGGCTATTGGGGTTAGCTTGAGGACTTAAAAAGGATCTGGGGGTAAACATACCTGGGGCTCCATCGCTGGCGTTGATGAGTTGGAAAGAAAGACCGCGGCCGTAAACATCGGTAATCGACGTGTTGAAGTCACCAGCCGGCGAATCACTCTTCTCCTTGACCGTGCTGACCAAGTTGTCGTAGTACTGCGCAGTCGAGAGCAGCTGGATTCCCTTCGTGGGAGGTCCCTTGAATAGCGAGTTCTGGAATTGCCAAATCGCCGAGTCCTCACCCTTGTTGATGATTGCTTCAACTGAGGTAAAGTTGTTGGCGTAGATGCTGCCAATCATCCAGCCTCCTCCTGATAGTGCGGAAACATATGTGGATGCCTGCAAGATTCCTCCCAAATGTCCTGCACTCGTCGAGTTTGTTGTCCGACTGTCAAACGCCGCTAGAGCACCCGCACCGTTCAGCAGGGCCCGGTATCCTCCACCAGAGAACGAGATCGCGATGTTCGGTAGGGCGGTGGTATTGTCGCGGTGGTTGCTGATGTATTGTCCAACGTCGAAGCCCTCAATGTTGACGCGTTCGAGGAACTCGCGCATAGGATCGATTGTGTTCGGCCTCCTCTTCTGGAGCCATTCTGTCTCTTGCTGGGAGAGTCTGTCGGCGGATCGAATGCTCGGGCGCGTGGACGGGCAGTTGACTTCGGCGGGCGCGTAGCCGTTGGGAGCCTGGGGCGAGGCACGCTTCAGTATATCCAAGCCATTGGGAGGTACGACTCTAGCTTCCCGAGGAACAAGTGCAGATGCTGTCATGCGTCAGTTGGGTCCCTGCAGGAACACAAGGAGGCGCATCACTTACAGGTCGCTAAACTAGTCAATGCCGAAGCAGACAACACAGAAGAATACTTCATCCTAACGAATGGATGCAAAGAAAGGAGGGGTGAGAAGGCTGAGAAGACGCGAAATGAATCGCGAACAAATGCGGAATCATGGCAATGTTAAATGATGCGCTCCATGCTGACGGGAGGCTGCGGAATGACCCACACTGCACAGGCGGCTATGCTCCTGGCTCCAACGCACCAAACGCCCGGAAGAGCTAGGAGGATCTGACCTCATAGGCGTGCTACTAGGCGTGCCACTTGTCGTGGCTGAAGGCCCTGACGATCAAACTTTATTTTTAGTCCCATCTCTTCTCGTCGATGTTTTGTCCGTGTTTGGTTTGTAGAGTGCTGTCGCATGCCCGCCTGAATCATCAGGCCCTCAGCCATCATCGGTCCTTGACAGATCTTCTTCGTTTGCAGCAGTTAATAGCTGACACCGCCTTTCTGCGGTAAGGCTCTGGTCAGCGGGCACCGTTGTGGCGCGTCATCTCCCGTGAGTGGCTGGCGCTCATTTCGAAACAATACGCTTTCGGCACTCGGCAAGCTGCCGGTACGAAGGGTACGAAAAGAACCTTGATACGACCCTGTCATCCTGGCACTGAGTGTGGTGTGTTACTTTCTCCATGTTTGAGATGTCGAGACAAGCGTTTGGCGCAAAGTAAGTATCGCTGCCCTGTTGTTATGCAATAAACAATGTCGTCATCTTCGTTAGGCCCTGATCGCAACTATTGCCGTGCATAGCGCGTCGCGTCCTCGACGTTAGGCAGCCTGCGTACGGGCATTTCATTCGACCGAATTTCCAGACACTACCTGAAGAGTGTGTTATCCTTCACCACAGCGTATGCGCCATGCGCAGCGAGGGGTAGCTTCGCGAATAGTTCTGTTCCGAGGCTCCGGACTCCGCCATGACGATCAACGGGCGACACATAACGTCGCGGCGGTGCTATGGCCTCGCGCTACACAACGAATCGCGACGGTGCATAGTACCAGGCTATGAGCTAGATGCATGTATGGAGATGAAAGTATTGTTGACGCGGCCTGCAGGAGATGTCGCTGAGCGTAATCGTATACGCGGTACGAAAAGAGACGCTCTCGGCAGTCGTGCCCCGCGGCTTCCACCCGAGATCGCTTCAACGGCAACTGCGTACTGCCATGTTGAGAGCACGCCACCTCCGCCTTACAAATCGTTCGTTCGTCCGAACCTAAGCCTCTGCCTCCACGTCTCCTTCCAGCTCATGGATACTGTGGCGATGGTCCGCCATCGACTACTCAGCAACACAGAGGCACTGCTAACGGGTGGCTTACTCGCTGAGAACCAGTGTGAGGAGAACCATGATTCATGCACATCGAGCACAACGACAATGAAGAAGAGCATGCGCCTTGACTCACACTGGACCCTGGTCATGGTCAGGCTAGTCATTGAAGTCTTACTGTACATCTCATGGAGATCTGCGGCATACAACCTCACAAGTAACGACGATGATGGTCGCCATCTTCATATCATCGTAGTACATTGTATCAACTTCTCTCCCTGTATCTCGTGCTTTCCATGTATATTCTCCAACTACTCATTTCGTCCACTCGAAAGACCTAGCTACCGTACTTGTACAGGCCCAATCTCCCTCCTCTATCATCGTATCTAGCACTGATCCCCACAGCAACGTTGTGCATACCTAACACACTCTAAGTACGCCGAAGTCTACCTGGCTTCACTACTGGCTCCTCATCGGAGTCATCAGACACCGTCGTATCCGGCAACTTGCTCTTGCCTATAAGTCCGGCCAGACCATCCATCTCGCGCGAAGCCATCGTGCCAGGATGCGCAGCCTCAAAGGCCTCTTCACCCAGATCAGCATCACGCTTGACCGCTTTGCCCTTGCCGCTAGCCTTCGCATAGCGTTCTTTCTTTGCATTCTTGACCGTGATCTTCTTGTTGTCCTTGGTCTCCGGCCACACGGAATCGAGGGCATCCGCAGCCTCATAGAGTGCCTTGATGGCTTCGCGAACGTCTTCCTCTTGCAGTTCCTTTGAACCCCAAGGGGTGTTGTCGAGACGAGCCTTCTTCGCATCGATGAGCGCATCTGAAGCGATCTCGTCGTTGCCCGCTGTTGCTTCAGCGAGGATCGCCATCAGAGCGAGGACCCCTGGCTCAAACTTCATCGCTGTGTCCTCGATCCACCAGAAACTCTTGATGTCGCGCTTCGACGCGGAGACACTGTACTTCTGCTTCAATCTCTTCGCGTTCGCAGAATCGAAGTCCTTGATTAAGCTCGCGATACGGCTGTATGGCTTGACGAGGCGGAGAACGTTCTTGCGGAGGGGGGCATCGCAACGACGAAGCTTGCTCATGTGGTTGCGAAGAGCTTCTTTTCCGAGTGACTGTAGGTACGTTAGTATGTTTCAATGCAGAAATCGTCATCGTCGTCATCGTCTTCCTCCAAAGATCGGACCTTGCGTGTGGCATGGATGAGTAGACCCTTAGTCATGAGGATAGTAGGCAGTGGGCCGATGTGTAACCGTAGATGTAATCGCTGAGTTCTCTGGGTAGGTGGGCGAATGGGAAAGTACCAATCGATTCCCTTCCTCAACAAATCTGGAAACTTACCCTGAGTGACCTCTTTAGTAGGCCTGATGTAT